GAGCTATGTACTGAATAAGGTAGGGAAATACTGAATGTGGTTGGAGAAAAGCAGCGTGACGGTGTGGTAATAGCCGCAACAACACGGCACTTACAAATTTCCGCGAGCCCTCGGCGCTAATAAGGGCCGAACTTTGATGGCTTATTCGACTCGGTGCTAATTGAAGGGACATAGCGCAACACTCTTCTCAATAATATAAATAATATAAAAGAAATGTATCAATAATATAAAAGAAATGTATAAGTAACACTGTCGGATTCGTTTGCATTTACTCTTTGAATTCTTTAGAATGAAATTTTACTCTAAAGAGTAAAAGAGCCGATCTTGAAAAAGAATGATTCAATTTTTAATCTTTAAGAGTGAGATTTCACTGTTTAGAGTGACAATTCGCTCTAAAAGTTTTAGAAAGTACACACACATTAATATTAATTGTTAACATTAATATTAATATTAATTACATTCCACGCGATGTATCGATTGTCACGAATAATATAGTTTATGAATTACAATACACATGTCCCATATTGCTTGTATAACAAATTTGGCGCTGCTAAATTATGCCTCTTGTGTACGTTCATTAACTTTACGCCCACAATTTCACGGGGACGTAAATATCACTTATTTAATTATAATTCTCTGTAAAGCGATGCTCCGACTACGTTACTGTTCTCTGCCCCTGCAGCGGTGGGTTGTCATAATTTCAAGGGCGTCGCAAGTAACGGGGTCATCGTGCCATCGAGATATGCAATATCGAGAAACATTTAAGAGTGTAATACACTTCCTTTGTGCAATATACTGTAGGTTCATTAAAAGTAAACAGTCAAGTTTCAGACTTGTTAGTAGACTTGTAATGTATTGTGAAACACGTAAAGATTGGAAAATATTTGTGGAAATATTCTAGCGGCACGGAGCAGGACTTTGTAGTAGAATTCCGTCACTGCGATTTTCCGAACGGGGAATAAGGGGTATATTAGGGGCGTCTCGATCACGAGGAGAAACCCGGGTTATGAGAAAGTCAAATTGAACTTAACAGAAAAGTACGGGGAATTTGATGACAACTTTGTGTTTATAGTATCGCGGATTTTTAATATTCTTAGATAATTAAAATTGATATTTCAAAATTATATTAATTAGAATAATATTTATTAACTCTAATGATGTATCAATCCTGTTCTTTTTCCTCTTCCCAATTTTATTATAAAATATAAAAAAAAGTAGAGAGAATTTTCAAGACCTTTCCTAGAAAATTTACAATTTTTACAGTATTACACACCACTTTAATCAACAAAGCTAAAGATAAAAATCATAAGAGCGTCCCGTTTTGATTAAGAGATAAAATTAAAGTAACAAAGAGAAAGAGTCTATTTTATTTTAATGATAGGAAATAAAAGCAACACGCACATTTCGATGAGGGGGTAAAAGTTAAACCTTCGGGAGACGTCACTGTTCGGCGGGGTGGCGCGTCAAGGGCGAACAGTATCCGTGGTGGGGATACCTTCGAAGGGTAGGGGTGCGTCGCGGCCGACCGGGGCGCAAGAGGGAGGCGGCAGCGTGAGAGGCAGAGAGTGTAACCCCACGGTCGCACCGCCACCCGTGCGTCGTCGTATTTAAAATATGACTCGGGTTAGAGCGCACACGGGGGTA